GAGGATGTTACTCCAGGCCCCAAACGGGGGATTACTTAATATGCAGTACAGGCGCTGCATTTTTCTAAAACCTACAAGATTCTGAAGTCAAAATACTCTGGCTCCAAGAATTACAAGTAAAGAGTTGCAGAGCTGTACTCCCTGTTTTGCTTCCTAGTCACTGCATATGCCAGGTGTGCTCTCTGACTCATAATCATTTGAATGACTAGATTCCCAGGTTCAAGTACAGGGCTAGAAGTTGTGCAGGTAGTTCTGACATTGCTTTTTGTAAAAGATAAGTAACATAAAAGCATTTGACTGGTCTGCAAGTCTGTGTCGAGAGTAGACAGCCCAAATTTTGAGACACTTTAAGACAGTAAGACAGAGGGGTGGGAAAAAAAAAAAAAAAAAGATGTTTTAACAGACCCAGTGATATCCATTTTAATGACAACAATTATAAAACAAAATCTTAAATTTCAAACCTGTACCGTAACCCTCAACACTCTACTTAATACATGCCTATGGTAAAAATCGCTCTTGTGCTTTTAATCACTCACTGAATGCTTCCTTCTTCACTTTTTGAAGTTTGTATTTGTGCACAAGAGTCTATCTTTGTGAGGTTACAACAATTGAAGAATTTTGTACAGGAAAACAGGACCAAAAAAGTGATGAGGCAAGAGTCATAGTTGATATTTATATTCAGTGACTGAGAAAAGCTGGTTGCAGTGGCATGGGCCTATAGTCCCAGCCTCCCGGTAACACAATGAGATCCCATCCCCCCCAAAAAAAACAGTAAAAGAAGAAAAAATAAGTGTTTACAGAGAAAATACAGAAGTAAGAAACTAAGAGAAACAAAGTATGGCTCTGGTCTTTACTTAAGGCAGTGCCTATGTATAATCAGGAGATACATACTTACACAGCACACAAAGCACTGAGGACTCTGTCCTAGGGTAAAGAAGAAATGTCTAAAAATGTCTGAGTGCTACAAAAATGTCATAAAGTATAACTGGAAAAGAGGGTTCGGGACACACAGAAAGAAGTAGGTCTTAAAGCTAAGTCTTAAAAGACAAGTATAAATTATCCATATAGAAAGGGGAAAGAGTTCATTCAGGAAATGACAGATAAGCATGTGTAAAGACTCAGAGACAGAGAATTTGGGGATTCCAGGGTGTATATGAATAAGAAGGAGCATGCAAGATTCATTAAGCTCAACTATGAAAGGCTCTGTATGAGTACACTGGATCTTCAAGGTTCTTGGTCACTGCTACATATCCAGAACCTAGGACAGTGTCTGCTACTTAGTAAGTTCCAACCCTAAAATTAAATAAAAAATGGGGAGTGTATATTTCTGCTGATTACTCCTATTTTTTTTCCTACAAAGAACTCCCTATAACGCCATTTTGTCAACTTGCTCATCAAGGAATACAACAGCAGCCTTGTCTCGCCTTTTAACTCCTACTTCTTGGAAATACTAAGATTTCCAAGTCTTAGTGCATCAAGACAGCACTATCAGATGCCACCCCCTATTAGTTCTTCATTCCATGTTAACCTGTGGAGCAGCTTGAAAACACTTCCTCACTGAGTGAGATGAAAAAAATACTAGTTCCTTTGCAGGCACCGAAAGAGGAAATCCAGCCCTGAAGGTGCAGTTCTTTCAACTTACAAAATCAAGCCTAATTACTGAATATGCCATATGCCTTCATCATACATTCAAACCACTCTCTCCCCCCCCAAATCTGCTCCTCAGCTTGCCTAATTAAGTATATGGGTGAATACATTCTGCCAATTTTCATGGCACAGCTTTGAAAGTCACCTTTCTGATTATTTAATTAGAAAACTACTAAGTAAACCACACCCTGGTTTAAAGAAAAGTTGGAGATGTTGGCCTCCATAGAGAAATTTAGCCCCTACACATGTAAGCACTGCATTCTACTACAGAGGCTCCTGTAGCCAGGTCTAAAATAAAGCTATCCTGATCAACTATTTTAGGAAGGACTCACAAGGCAACTTTTCAGGTGGAAGTGCTGAACTCCGTCTAGCTCCACCAATTTATAAGTTAGACTGAGAGATTAAACATGAGTCACCACTAAGTTCCTCCTTCCCACTACCTAATCCATTCTCCAGAAGTTAATATGTCCCAAGGCCAAGGCAGCCCATAGCCCGTTTTTGGTATCTGTTCACTGGGAAAGACTTACTAACTTGACTACATATAGGAAAGGCTTGATTTAATCCATGCTTACAGTTTGCACTTTGTTATAGGCATTCAAATGTCTCTTCCAATGTCCACTTGGGAATGTATATACTGAGAAAAAGTATAAGTCTGGGAGTTTGCTAAAACTAGTATGCTCTGTGGCTTTATTGTTCCACCACCCTCCCATGCTCAGATAAACAGAAAAGCAGGGAAATTCAACAAGGAAGCCTTCAAAGTTATCAGTGGGATCAGATGTATTACCAATAGCCACTTCTTTCTTGGACTAGCTCCAGGCACCATGAACAAACGATGACCAAGTTAGGGATATGACAGGTAGTACAAAATTCCATCTAAATACAGGTGGACAATAAATTGAAAATATTATTCAAGTTAAGGCATGGGTATATGAAATATAATATGTGTCACTGTTGTCTTTTGGGCGGTCTCAGGTACAAGCCACGGTAGGTTGCTCAACAATGTACAAGCACTGGGAATGAAAGCTAACTTCTTTTATTTTCTTGAGACAGAGTTTCATTTTGTCCTCTAAGCTACACGGCAGTGGAGCGATGTCAGCTCACTGCAACCTCCGCCTTCAGGGTTCTAGTGATTCTTGTGCCTCAGTCTGCCGAGTAGCTGGTGCTACAAGCTAATTTTTTTGTATTTTTAGTAGAGACAGGGTTTCACCATGTTGACCAGGCTGGTCTCTAACTCCTGACCTCAAGTGATCCACCCTCCTTAACCTCCCAAAGTGCTGGGAATACAGGTGTGAGCCATCGCGCCCCACTAGGAGCATTAATTTCTAAAAATTCAGCAGCTGGGAAAGCTAACAGAGCTAAGAAAGCTGGCTTAGAAAAAAGAATTAAGTAGTCTAGGAAGTGTCAGAACTCCAAAAAGTGAGTGAAGATAACCTATCCAAAGCAGGGAAGGATGTGGTGTCATAATAATAAATACTAGCTGGCCACGGATCAAATGCTTTGGAGCAAGGAGGGCATCAAACCTGATTCTGAGGGCAGGGGAAGGACGAACCATAGTATGATCTATCCCTAAAGAATGGGCTAGATCACAAGTTCTCAAACTAACTGGCATGAGAATCACTGGAATGCTTTGGAAAAACAAACAAAAATAAAATCATTGGGACTCCATTTCCACATTTCTGATTCAACAGAACTGGGGTGAAGCCCAGCAATTTACATTGCTAACAAGCTTCAAGGAGATGATGCTGCTGATTTAGGAGACCACATTTTTGGAAGCACGAGACCAGGATATTAGATCAAAGTTCTTGGCCTTTAACTTATAACTAAGACAGTCTCAGAGCCGCAGTCAACTGAGTTGGGAAAGACTCCATAAAAGTGACATGGACACTTAAAACTAGGAGGACACTTACAGGTGGAAAGGCAACATTCAGAACCAGAGAACAAGAATGGAGGCACAGAGAGAACTCATCAACTGTATCATCACAGTAACTTAAAATAATATAAAGCTAACACAGTGTATCAGGCACTGTGCTGAGTGCCTCATCAGCATTAGTTTTCTTTAAACTCCAAAAAAGACAATTCAATGAGGCAGGTATTGTATTATTACCTACAGCTGAGGTAATTGGATTGTTTTCAGATGATGAAGCTGACACTAAAGACCTTAGATAACTTGCTCCATGTGACAGACCTACTAACAGCCGAATAAAATTGAAATATTTGGTCTATTAGTCCATCACCCAGGACCAACACAAGTGAGTTTCCTCCTCCTACTGATACTGCCTGTTACAATGCTTCTCCTGGTCAAAACCACACTTTTAATGCGAATTTTAAATCTGCCCTTCCATAGTAGGATAATTTATGTTAACTCTTGAATTTCCAAGCAATCCTAAATACAGGTAAGAGTTAGGTTAACTGATCTGCTGAGGACCAAGTTTGCTTGTTTATCTATTTCGAGTCTCTGCACACCTAAAAATGCAAAGGAAACTCTTAGCTAATTCTTGCATCTAGAATAGCCTTTCTCCAAATCCTGCCTTCTCCACTTACCTCAAAAGAATTGTGAAGATTAAGTAGAAATAGGTACCGCGGTTTCTGCAGTTAAACTCAGTGAAATTAACTATTATATTTCCATTATATAATGCTGCACTGTAGGACCCAGAGCTCGTTAGAGAGGTGGAGACTGGAAAGCCAAGTTTGGCAGTTATTACCTCACTAGAGATGGATAAAGGATGACAGATAGATGAAGAGGACACAGGAGAAATGAAGCGTCTTCAAAACTAAACACTAGAACTTATCAGTATTTACAGGGCAAATAAATGAAGGAGAAGCCACTAATGAAATTTCACACAAATAGTCAAAAGGATATAAGGCCGGAAAGGCATGAGAGTGCAAGCACTACAACTAACTTTTAATCAACTACAGCTCATTAATCCCACTCCCTTGGCGCGGGGATCTGGGCACTAGTAAAGGAGCTTTCGCAAGCCCAAATGACTCCAGAGGCTCTAAGTACAAAACACACTGCACACGAAACAAGAGAGCACCAGGATTGGTGCAGGACCTCAGATAGCTCCAAGAATCTCACAAGGAAGGTCGGCCGGTCGGCGCAGGCAGTGAGTGAGTTGACACAGCCTATTCCCTCCCCACCAGCTCTGACTCCTCGGCCCCAGCCGCTCTCACACCCCCCTCGCGGGCCAGTGCCTGGCGGGAAGCGAGCCACGCGCACTCCAATGCCGCTCACAGCGGTACCAGTGAGCCCGCACCCGCTCCTGCGCCTCTTTCACTTCCCACCCGATCCAGCGACCCGCCACCCCCACTCCGGTTCGCTGCCTGCGGGACCTCCACGGACTTTGGATAATTACCTAGAGCTCCACCGCGCCGCCATTACACCGGACGTACGTCACTTCCTTTTCCCGACGACCGACAGTAGGAAGAATGCGGATAGTGAAATACATAAAAACTTGACGCTCAACTGGCTTGACACGTTATCCTTTTAACTTATTTCAAATACCATATCATAATACCAGAGTCAAAGTGGTCGATTCAGGCACACTGTCTTCTTACCAAAATGGCGACAAAAAGAGAAGTTGACATGAACTACAAAGTCCGAAATCCAGCACTTGTGTTGGCGGAAATGACGAAAGCGGAATTGTAGTTTAGCATGGAAGGGCGCGGTGTAAGATGGGAATTGTAGTTCATACAGATGGGCGCCTACGAGTAACATCCAAAGTGCTCACCGGCAGCCTAATAGTGTTTAGAGTCTAGCCGAATTTACTTTAATCTAAAACTATTTCTCTGCATTTAGGGGAAATTTTTTTTTTAAAGCAGTCAGTTGTCACTTTTCCTTGAAAATATTAAGAGATTTTCCTGAGACTTTATAATAGAGTTTGACCAAGAGCCTAATAAACAAAAATGTTACCAAATGTTAAGTGCCTAATAAATTCCAAGATGTCTAGACCAAGAGAATGGGAGAATATTAGGTCATAAATAGAGTAAAATAATGAGGAAAAACTAATTCTGTAGAGACGATGTTGCCTCTCTTTTAGGTTAAGGTACCAACTGGTATGACCTGAGAGTAAGGAAACTGCCTGGCTGAGTGGGAGGTAGCAGTTTGTACAGAGTGCAGAACTTGGGCATTGAACAAACTGTTTCTTTAAACCTCACTTTTCGCTAGTAACAAAACCTAAAAGTTCAACTACTTGTTCTTTTGGAAACTCTCTTCCTAAAACAAGAATATCTTTATATTTTCAAACCTTTCATAAACCAGGCCTGGTTTTTCCACACACTTCTCTATTACAATTTTAGAGTGCTGTGCTTACACTCCTTTCTGGAGGCAGAGTCTGATGATTAAGAATAAAAACACTGCAGTTGGACCACTTATGTTTGAGTCATGAGTTCTTTTATTATTTATGGATCACTGGGGCAAGTAACTTCACATTCTGTGTCCATTTCCTCATTTGTTAAATGGACATTCTAATAGTACCCACCCATGCAGTAGTTTTTAGAATTGAATTAGTTGATTCACATAATGCATTTAAGATAATTGCTGGTATACAATAGTGTTATCTGTTTTATTTCTTATTTAAGATATTTGGCCATTGTTCATGGTGCATTTTGGTGTATCAATACAGAGCACAGGAGATGGATCTGGAGATGAACATTTGTATTTGTATATTTAAAAATACGCAATACTACCTGTGATGGTTAATTCTGAATTTCAACTTGATTGGATTGAAGGATGTAAAATATTGATCCTGGGTGTGTCTGTGAGGGTATTGCCAGAAGAGATTAACATTTGAGTCAGTGGACTGGGAAAGACAGACCCACCCTTAAACTAGTGGGCACAATCTAATCAGCTGCCAGTAAATATAAAGCAGGCAGAAAAACGTGAAAAGGCGAGACTGGCCTAGCCTCCCAGCATACATCTTTCTCCCATGTTGGATGCTTCCTGGCCACAAATGTTGGACTTCAGTTGTGAGATTCAGACTGGCTCTCCTAGCTCCTCAAGCTTGCAGACAGCCTATTGTGGGACCTTGTGACCATGTAAGTTAATACTTAAAAAACTCCCCTTTACATATATATATATATATATATATATATAATTAGTTCTGTCCCTCTAGGGGGCCCTGATGAATACACTACCTCTACAACGATTGACAGAGCTAGACAAGATTGAGCAAAGAACTAGATTGAGCTGGAAAAGAATAGATTTGTCAGTTGGGTCCTTCAGGAAGCAGACACTGAGAAAGAATTATGAATGAAAAAGGTGAAAGGAAAAGGGAGGAAATAGTATTGGGCAGGGTAGCTCCATAATAAAGATGAAGAGGCCTACATTGGGATGAAATGTCTAGGCCCTTATACCAGTTATTTTCAGTCATTGGCTACAGCCACCTTAAGAGGAGTGTGGCCTCAACTGAAAACCCGAGGTAGATGCGAAGATGTGAACAGCTAAAGGCTATCATCTAACCACACTGCTTGCAGCTAGGCTACAAGTAAGTCCTTTCCTAAAGAGGTGTCTGAGCAGCATACCTCTGTGCCTGTCACAGTGCACCCATTACACCATGCAGATTCAGTCTCCATACACATTTTGGGAGCAGCTTTTACAGGGTTCTAGTGCACATTTCTTCCTAAAAAGAAACTTAGAAGTGGGAAGTTGGTGAGACAAACTACAGTCCCCATCTTTGGGTCCTGAGACCACACTGAATCCATTTCCTCTCTTCTCTACTATTCATTCTAAATTTCCCTTGCTGTCAGCTACCATCTCTACTTCTGTCTGTGGTCATGCTGGTGATATAAAACCCCAATTCCTGGGACGTCTGAGCACCTGGTAGTGATCATCTTCTCAGGTAGGTGTTGCTGCATTTTTTCATTAATGGTCATTATAGGGTAAGGGATTACCAAGAGATGCCCAAGTGCATCACCTAAGTATCACCCACATTCTTACTTGTTCCCATTGTATAACAGCAAGCCTGTCTCCTCCTGCTTTTTGGATTTAGCTACCTCTGATGAAGCATTGATTCCTTTCTTGCCTACTGGTTGCTAAACTCTAGAAGTTCCATGTTCCCAGCCAACTGCTAAGCTTAGTTCCATGGGACAAACTGTGTCCCCTAGCAAGAATATACCACCTTTGGGGATTAAGACCTCTAATTTCACAGAGCTCAGAGCTGCAGGAATGGGGAGTTCTATGCCCCCTAGCAGGTCATTGGAAAAAATGGTAAGTTGGGTTATATCCCTGTTTTCATCCCTTGTTTCTTGGATCCAAGTATTGTTCCTACTAGAGGCCCTGCATCCTGAGAGACAGTACCTCATTCTTGCAGAATATTGTCTTCTAGCTAGTACTTCAACTGTACTTTCAGCAGGCCATTCCAGTGCTCTATTAGGCCACCAGCTTCTGTGCATGCAACATGTGATACATCCTATGGAACCCATGGTCACAGGCACCTCTTGCACCACCTTTGCTATGAAGCATGTCCTGCTTGGATGCTATGTTATATTATATTCCATACCTGTGGATCAAGTATTGTGGAAGTCTCCAGATACTGGTGCTGGACGAGTCTTGGTGAGTAAACAATGCAAATGCATACTCCAAATAAGTATTCCCATAAAATCGAACTGCTAGAATGGAAAGATCTCAATGTAGTATAGACTACTTACCACCAAGTGTCTACTTTCTCTCCTAAAGGCATGGTATCAAATCAAGGATCAGTTTCACAGCTCAAGCTTTCAAGTGAGGTAGTAAGTAGGTAGATCAGCTGCGGTAAGTAGTCTTTGTGCTGATGGACCTGTGCATATATTCCATTTTTGCCACCCTGGCCATTTTGTTCTTGTGCCGATTGTGCCAGCACTGAGGTGGCCACTAATAAAGACAGGTTGACATCAACTAACTGAGTAATTTTTCTACATTTTTAAGTGCTTACTCAATAGATCATACCTTCTTGTGGACATTGATGTGTGATAAAAATATCTTCACACTTTTTGCCCACACTAATATGTATATCCACGTTCCTCTAAGACCCTCAGAACCCTTTGTCTGCAATGTTCTAAACTCATTCTTTTCAGGCCTCTGACCAACCAGCTGGGATGCTTGTCATTTCCTGTAACTATATTTATATTCTAACCTCAGGTCACCTGTTCTTCTACAGAAAGTGGATGACAAGGTGCACCATCCAAGCTTTGCCCATTAGGAAGACTGTTTCTCTCCACTGTCTTCAAGGCTATACTTTAAGGTGATTGTAATATAAGCTGCTGCTCCATTGCAGCTTTCATCCACATACTTGGGCAACCCATTCATAAACTAAGCTCAGCCATTTTTTTTTCTTTCTTCAGCTTCTTGTTCAAGACCACACCTCTGCCCCATATGGTTACCAATATGAGCTGAGGAAGAGGTAGTGATGCAACTGTAATGATGATACCAGAATGTATGCTATCTGCTCCTATAGATTGATTGTGGTCTTCTTTGTGCTTCATCCCAAATGTAATTCTTTCATCTTATGATGTATTACAGCTGAGCTGCCCAGAACTTGTAACATGGTGTGTTCAACAAGGCACATTCTTTTTTTTTTTTTTTTTTTTGAGATGGAGTCTCACTCTGTTGCCTAGGCTGGAGTCAAGGCACATTTTGTTTTGTGTCACTTAGTGTCCCACAGTCAAGCATTTTCTCTTTCCCAATAGCATTACAAGGGCCATTTTTCAAAAGACTTGCAGACCTTCATCTAGAAACCAGGCACCTTAGCTGTAATTTTCCTGCTGAGATTTCTATAAACTCCATACTGCATCTTTTTCCACCACTGACACCTCTAACATCATAGGATCTGCCAAATCATATAGTGCAGTGTCAAGGCTATTTTCTAAACTACAGCTCAGTCCTGCTGTAAAACTCTTTCCTGTGCCAGGTTGCAAAGTTGGCAGCTTTTTATGTCACCTGCTATATGAATGAAAAAAATATTTCTAGGTGTAAAGTATGTTGCTTACAAAACCCAAAGCAACTTCCTAGGCATTGTGCTTTTTCCTTTTTTGAATGGGATGTAAGATACTGCAATTTGTCTTTTATTTTGAAGGGGATATTCTAGCACACTCTGAATACTGGGCCCTTAACATCTTTAATAAAGAACCAGGTCCCTTTCTGATTCTTCCAAGGGTTCATTTCTCACTCCCTGGGACCCAAACCTCAAGCGTGCTAGTAACCTCTTGCTAAACCTATTTGATCAGCATGATATCATTGATATAATGAATCAATATAATATTCTACAGGATTTTCAAATGATTCCTATCTTTTTGGACTATGAGTGTGAGTAGGAAAGTTAACATAGCCGGGGGGAAAGTTACCATGTATATTGATATTTTATTTCATATGGACATGAACTATTTATTTCATATGGACATGAACTATTTCAAATTGTCTTGCTTGATCAGGATAGAAAAGAATGAATTCTCCAAACCAATAGCTGCGTACCATATACAGGGAACCATATTATCCTGCTTTATCAATGATACTATGCTTGGCAGGACAACTGCAACTGGGGGTGTTAATTTGTTAAACTTTTGGTAGTCTACAATCATTCTTCTATTATAATTCATCTAGCTTCTGCAGAGGCCAGACTGTTGAAGTAAATGGAGATGTGATGGGAACTATCAACCCTGAATCTTTTTCA